ATATTATTTTATTAGACTAGGAGTGGAGTTTCTGGAGGAAAAGCAGACGGTTTGAGGGAATTTTTGCAAGAGAAATTGGATAAATTATACAGTGGAAATAATTTTTTTGGTCACACATTTTATTATGTTTAATTTAATTCAACCGGCAAACTGGTAAATGTGGTAGTATTAAATCATTACATCTAATTACAATTAACGATTTAATGGTGTAACAAAGGGTTATCAATTTTTTACAATAATTTGCTATAATTTAAATTTTATTTATATTGTGTATATGGTACCATCTAGTGACTGGTAGCAGAGTTATGAAATAGATAAAAGCGGGAAAGTTTGCAGAAAATATTTTGTTTTTGTGTTATAAAAGACAGTTTTTAGAGATTTGGTTGCTTATGCTTTCAGGAAATTTAATTTTTTTTATGAAATAGGAAACTGTGGCAAGATACATGATTACCAACACTGCAAAATCTATTACCAAGCAGTTTACTTTATCGCTACATCTACAGCTATCTCTTTAAAAAATAGCAGCTATAGCTGCTACTACACTAGTATAGTTGGTACCAACAATATTTGAGACTCATTATAGAATTAGACGATTACCCCCTACGGTGGTTCATGGGGCTTGCGGTAGAGATGCCATAAACAAATTTGCATTTCAAAGGACAGGCACGTTTCAAAGGTTTGTAGGAAGATATGGTCGGTAACAGAAATTTGTTTTTGGGCTTTCATAAAAAAAAATTAAATTAATTTTAATATTCAGCTATCTTTTGAGATTGTTTCTTTACAAATCTGCATTATCACTTATTATATTAAATTAATACATAAATTCCCTAATGTTTGCCTGTAATAAATTAAAAGCCTACTACGAAAATTCCTGAATACGGCTCTTTTGTAAATCTTCAGGGTAGTACCACCAGCAGTGAAAAATTATTACGGCCGACCGCAAGGCTCAATAAAGCTTTGCATATGTCAATCTCAAATATTCCTGGTGACGACTATACCACTAGTAGTTTTTGTATCATAAGCTACGGTAAAGCTAAACATAAACTACCTCAAAAACCAAAGGTTCTAACGATTTCTAATGCTTGCCTTTTTCTTTTGCAAATGAAAATTTTCGTAATACGCCCTGTGTTAAAATCTTTTTAACTAAATACTTAACAGTAAATGTTTTACTTTGCGTGGGAGAAAATACAATAATACTGATACACAGATGAATAAGAAAATTGTGACTATTATACAAACGCTTCCAAATGTTGCCGGTGCGGTTTTGAAAGAAACATTGAATTGTTATTTAAAAAAAAAAACGATGATTATAGTATACTAAGTTTTAAGAAGGGTAAAATATCCTTAACGTTCGTAATGCATATAACGTTTTTTGCACGAAAGGTACCGGGTGGGGCATCCGTTACGCCCAAAAAGAAAATCCCCACTTTTAATTAAATAAAATTGTTGAATTTTTTCACACTTACCTGAACATTGGTAAGGTACAATCTGCTTCAGAAGTAATGACACAAAACTTGACTCTCGAGTAGGCACGTTCGACCGTTTCAGATGGGATGGAGCCGATGGTCGGCAGTTATCGGTTTTCCGGCATTGGGATGGGTCGATGGGGAATTGAGGAAAATTGATAAATCGTTTGCTGAAATTATTAAGAATTTTGACTATGAGTAATCACTTATCGCATTTGACTTATTTTGAAAGGAATAAAATAATATTTGAAACGTTTCTTTAAAATTAAAAATTAATGTGATTCATGGTTTTGATGTCCACAGTCACCATTTCACATAATAATTAATTTATTATTTTATTTACTAATAAATTTATTAACTAATGTAGAAGTTAAGGGTTGTTTACTATTTATCAACAGTAAAGGATTTCATGTGATTTTGGTGACATTTTTCACAGAAATCGAGTTCAGCCATGTCCGCAGTGTTTTATCCGTGTTTTAATTCAGAAATAGCGTAATCCGAATTACATTGTTATTTACTTTGTATTATTGTCAAATGTGATATTAATTACAAATTAAATTTGGGGCGGTTATTATCGTATCGTATCAGATATCGTAAATTTCGAACTTAACCTTTGACCACTGAATGGCAAATTTTGAATGAATGGAAACGGATGGCTTGCGGGCACATTGTCAACCTTTTCTAAGAAAAATTTGACCAAATTCATATGAAATCCTTTACCTGTGACCGTTTGCTATCTGCTAAAACTTCCCAATAATAGAAAGAAACAAAACAGTGAACAAGGCCACCTCAACTTATTAATCTGTTCATTTTAATTTGTAACTGATGACATTTGTTCTTAAACATAACGTAAATGGCAACTTAATTCGAATTAGTTTAAAAGACTGAATTAAATTTTAATTCGCTTTCAGTAAATCAGCCCTAATGTTATATTTATATAAAAATTGGCGCTATTGGACAAATGTATACCCCCTTAGGGTGCTTAGGATTAACACTGGTGATTGGTGGTGATACACAAACCCTCTGACTCATCTCAAACTTTTTCTCTGAAAACGTTGACAACGGGTTCAGCTGTGTCCACTTTGCATTGTCAAACGTGAAATTAATCGTGAATTAAAATTTAATTTAAATTAGATGCGCTTTTAATCGACATTAATGCTACTGCTACTTCACGAAATGGTCACAAGTGTAATTTGAATTATTATTCGAAAGTTTTATCAGACAGCAAACGGTCACAGGTAAAGGATTTCATATGAATTTGGTAAAATTTTTCATAGAAAACGTTGACAATGTGCCCGCAGGCCATCCGTTTCCATTCATAAAAATTTGCCATTCTGTGGTCAGAAGTATGAATTGGTTCAGTTCGAAATTTACAATGTCTTATACGATACGATAATGACCGCCCCAAATCACAGTTACCAGACCGAGTTGTAAGATACGAGTATCTGTCTTAATCCTTTGTCGCCTAATGGAAGGAAAAAAATTATTTTGTAAATTACTACACTTTTTCAAAAAACTGAATGATAAAGTAGTATAAAGCTGAAGATTCCCATTTTTTGATTTTAATCGATAGCTTTTGAAATAAGTAAAAACTTGTTAATTCTTTACATAAAGGCGGATTTAGGTAAAGAATTGATTTCAATATATTCCAGGCAAAAATTTGTCGTTGAGGGTGTTATCTGCGTAAGACATTTTATGTTTATTATCGGGATTCTAATACACAGGGCAAAAAGGTTTCAGGCCAATAACACCTTTAAGGACAAATTTTTGCCTGGGATAAAGCCAACTCAGCGGCATAATTAGAGCCACCCTATAAATTTAAACCGCACTCCTTGACTTGGAATATTAGGAATTGATGTAAAAATTTTATTTGATTGAAAATGAAGCCACAACTCGAATTCTGTGAAAAATTTTACCAAAATCACATGATATCCTTTACTGTTGATAAATAGTAAGCAATCCTTAACTTCTACATTAATTAATAAATTTATTGGTAAATAAAACAATAAATTAATTATTTTGTGAAATGGTGACTTTGGACATCAAAACCATGATTCAGATCAATTTTTAATTTCAAAGAAACGTTTCAAATATTATTTTACGAGTATTCCTTTCAAAACAAGTCAAATGCGATAAGTGATTACTCATAGTCAAAATTCTTAATAATTTCAGCAAACGATTTATCAATTTTCGTCAACTCTCCATCGACCCATCCCCATGCCGGAAAACCGACTGCCGACCATCGGCTCCATCCCATCTGAAACGGTCGAACGTGCCTACTCGAGAGCCGAGTTTTGTGTCATTACTTCTGAAGCAGTTTGTACATTCCCTAATGTTTTGGTAATTTTTCATTTACAAACAAAACCAAAATAAAAAGTAATTTTCTCCCAAAAAATTTAATTCTAATTTTTATACTGACCTACGCTGATTCACTTCCTACAATTGTTTACAAAATCAGAAAAAAAAACAATTAGATTTTGAATTAAACGCAATTCTCCATCTTAACTTTGAAAATCATTTTTATTTATGACCTGCTACTTGTGCCATCGTAAATTTAGGTGACAATGGGGAACTTCAATTGGGCTAAGATTCCAAGGTTTACAACAAAAAGACCCTTTAAAGCGGTCGGCTACCAGTAAATGATTCTTTTGTTGGCAAATTGTACCATTTTGTCATAAATCACGGGTCTGGTTTGTTTTTAAATAAAAAAGCGATTATTTGGCTAACCAAGTCAAAATTTGAAATTGTGATATCAAAGTTTGATGCACTGACAGGTACAGATTCCGGTAGAAACATTGTTACCTTGATCTGAATAAATTATTTGAATAAAAATGTCATTGGCGTCATTTCATTTTTACCTAAAGTGTCGCCATGGTGTTTCACGAATTGTTATAAATTGAATGAATTATTGTTAACTATAGTTGAGGTTCATGTTGCCTAGACGAAAGTTTGTTGTGAAAAAATACACCTTTGAAAAAACAGATTAGAACATTTCATGAGTTTTCTCAAGAAAAATGTGTGATTCAAACTCCGACGGTGTAGACAGTGAAATCGAACAAGCTTGTTTAGCACTAATTTCTGAAATATTAAGATTTCGATATGAAAATGCCCAGAAAATCTTTAAAATCTAATGTGAGGAAAAGAGTTGTGACATTAGTGAAAAAATTGCTGAAAAAAAACTACTGAAGATGTCGGTGGATTTACATTGAATTCAGGCAACAGTTTCAGTTAGTGCTACCACCAAAGAGGCCAGCGAAAATATAATTAGTAATTGTAGTGATTGTACGTTTAATTTAAATATGAAATAATTTCTTGGAATTATAATGTTTATAATAACGTTTATGCTATCAATAAATGTTTTGTGGATTTTATCTGATTAATGTTTGAAATTACTTATCGTTCTGTTTATCATAGAAACCCGTAAATACAACATACCGGTCTCGAAACAAACGCGGTAACTAACTAAAAGCGTTCTATCGTCTAAAAAATATGTTAATTTACGACTTGGGAAAATAAATAAAAATCGGGTTTTGGTGTTTCAAATCTTTTTTATCAATATAAATATAAATAATTAATTGGTTTTTACCTTTTTCGTATTTTTTTTTGTACAAATCTTTTTCCACACCTTCTTAAGTATGAAACATGTGATGAAAATTAGAGAGCCCAATACCAGTGTTAAGACAACAATAACATCTACTAGCAAATATTTGTACCATGGCAAATCGAGGGCTGCAACTCGTAAATGTGGTGCCCCTCTGTGTCTTATAACATATTCAACCCAAAAAACGGCAGTATCCATTGGATGGACTTGACGGTCGTGAAAAATTTTTGACCTGATTTTAGCGTTTTCACTATATCTAGAAAAGTTTTGTTTAGTTTTGTTTATCAAAATTTTCGACTTACTTGGGATTGTCTAGCATTTCATTTATAGCTTCAAGCAAATTTTTTTCTGTAAGATTGCTAAAAGTGATATAGCGTCCAAAACCACTTTTATAAGCAAAATTAGCATTGTTTCTTTGATCACCATAAATAGGTATAGCCAACATGGGCTTCCCGTGATAGGCTGTTTCAACCGAACTAACGAAACCACCATGGGTGATAAAAAGTTTCAAATTTGGATGGGCTTAAATTAATAATTATATTGAGAAAATCAAAATGAGATAAGTACCAAGAACGTCCATTTGGGGCACCCATTTGGATATTTTGACATTTGGTGGCTTCCCTGGAAGTTCGTCGTCTTCCCATTTCCATAGAACTTTCATTTTAAGTTTCGCAAAGGTTTTCAAGAAAACTTCGCGTTTTTCAATTGGCCATAAAATGCTTTGAAGATTTGAGCCCATACTGAAATAAACCACTCCTTCTTTGGAAATATCCAAAAATTCTTGTAAGTCTTCTGGTAGTTTCTTGGGTGGTTTCATGTGAAATCCTCCAATTTCAATCATGTTGGGGACTAGAGGGACAGGTTGGTTGAGACTTGGATGGGAATTTAAAAGTACCAAAGAGGTGTTATACAGAATGTCTTTTAATTCGCCTCCTCTCGGAATAAATTGTTTGACATATTCATTATGTTGGGGATACACCAACCAATTATAAAGCAGAAAATTGAAACCGTAAATTAGAGTGTTTACCATTCTTTCGGAAAAGGTCATCGGATGGTAATAATTGAGTAAAATATCGGGAATGTATGATGGTGGTGAGGGATTGCCAACCAGAGGATTTATCCAAAAGTTGGGTCCTACAGGATTGAGTACGATAAGTGGGGCGTCGAAATGTGTCGCAAATGCTTTAAAAGCATCACTCAGAAAATTATCTGTAATAACTACATCGAATTTTTCATCTGAGTGCAACAATTTTTGAACTTTGGTGTGGTTTAGCGACATTTTAATAAATTTAGATGCCATGGTTGCCACCACGTATGTACCAACAAAAGGATTCAAGCCTTCTCTTTTGAACATATTCCATTGTTTTCCTTTATGTTCTAAAATTGTGAAAAGAATAAAAGGAATCAGAGTATTTAAAACTAACTCACTTTCATCTCCTACGAATAGTCCGTCGAGGACTATATCTCGATAAGTTCCATTTTTTGGAACATCTTTTTCACTAAATGGAGATATTACTGTTACATCGTGTCCTCTTTCTGCTAATTCTCTAAATAAAGAAGAGCCCAAACGATAGTGACTATGACCAGGCAAAGGGTAGATGCCCAAAATATGTGCACTGTTTATTGCGCATATTAAAGTACAAAATAATAAAATCAAACTTGAAAATTGTTTAATCATTGATACGGTTTTTACACTGCAACTGATTATAACACAGCTACTTCTACCTATTTATTTATAAGGCTTATCTGTCGCGTCCTTGATTTTATATGAGATAGGAATAAACCACATTATTCAAAAAATATTGCTATAAATAAAAAATCAAATTATTTTTATTTAGAAAACTACTAACATGAATACCTATAAATATGAGTTAAACATGATTTTCATCTAAATACATACAAAGTGTTTCAGATAACTTTACAAAGCCTGCGCCTGAACGCCTGTAAAATGCAATTAAGAATACATACCTAATCCAGTACAAACCCTACTAAAAATATTGAAAAATTGTCTTCTGTAATTTTTACACTTCTCAAATAATTGGCATTATTTAATGTCAACATTTTTTATAATTGTTGGTTATGACCATGTTCCTGAGTCTTATTATAATAGAAGATAATAATAAATCAAAATCTTTCTCAGGCTTTTTTCTTTTATTTGGAACGACCGGTTTCGGCTTTAGGCCAACTTCTGGTTCCAAGAGTATTAACAGGATTTGTCAGTTGTAAAAGGATTATTAGGAAACATAACAAACACTTTAAAATGAAAAATTAATACAATTAGACAAAAGAAAAAAAATCTCTTTCAAGTGTTTGTTATGTTTTTTAATAATCCTTTTAAAACTGACAAATCTTGTTAATAGTATTGGAATGATATACAAAAACAATTTATCCAGTCACACCAAACTTTTATTTCAAACACGACGCGTTTCAACCACAAAGTGGTGATCCTTTTTTTTATTTACATTTTGCCGTTCCATAAATTAATTAATTTAATTTTTAGATTAAAAATAGTGTTTTAACTTGTTTTTACTTTTTGATATTTTTTGCGAAAGCAACATCTTACTAGTACTTTTATGGTTTGACAAAATATGTATAAAACAATAATAGATAAAATTGTTATAAATGCAATCACGTCCAAGAGGAAATATCTGTACCAAGGCAAGTCTAGAGCTCCAACTCTTAAATGTGGGGCTCCTCCATTTCGAATTACGTATTCAATCCAATAAACAGCTGTCTCCATTGGTGTTACAGGCCGATCGTGAAAAATCTGTGATCTAGTTTTGGCATTTTGTCGGTACCTAAAATCAATGTTTTTAATTTGAATTTTCTTTCTTATACAATTTTACGATGGATTTGTCAAAAGTTCGTTTATATTTTCTGTAAGTGCTTCTTCTGTCAGGTCTTGAAAACTGATTGCACGTCCAAATCCCTTATTTACAATTTGTTTTGCGTTCAAATTTTGATCACCACCAATTGGAATTGCTAGAACTGGCATACCATGATAAATTGTCTCAATTGTACTCAAAAGGCCCGCATGAGTTATGAATAATTTTACATTTGGGTGAGCTAAAAAAATTTTTTAGATATTTTTTTTTATTTATCTTATATTACCTAAAATATCTTGTTGTGGTACCCATTTTTTTATATGGACGTTTGGAGGTTTTCCGGGAAGATCATCTTCTTCCCATTTCCACAACACTTCCTCTTTGAGTTTTGCAAATGTGGTGAGAAGCATTTGACGCACTTCCACCGGCATTAAGCTGCTTTTTATGTTAGAGCCTAAACTAAAATAGATGACACCGTTTTTGGCATTATCTAAAAATGTTTTCAACTCATTGGGTAATTTTTTCGGTTTTGCCACGTGAAATCCTCCAATATCAATCATTTTTGGGACATAGGGAACCGGTTGATTTGTGCTTGTATGAGAGTTTAGCAGTACTATTGAAGCGTTGTACAGGACATCATGTAGATCAGGTCCGTTAGGAAAATATTTCTTGATAAGTTTGTGATGTGCAGGGTAAATATAAAAATAATTAAGTCCTTCATGGAATACATAAAACATAGTGTTGAGCACTCTTTGCAAAAACGTCATATTGTTGGTATATCCAAGCAAAAGATTGGGGACATAAGAGAGCGGTGTGGGGTTCCCAACAAAGCTGTTACTCCAACTGTTGGCACCCATTGTGCTCAATGATACAAGATGTGCTCCAAAATGTGTGGCAAAGGCTTTATGAGCTGGATTTAGAAACTCTTCCACAACAACAACATCAAATTTTTCGCCAGAATGGATCAATTTTTCGACGTTTGTGTGATTGAGTGCACTTTCAGTCATTTTTATCATCATATTGCCCATCATAGATACTATTTTTAAAATACCCATTTTGTTTTTAGAAAAAGGGTTTATTTCTTTTATTTTTTCTAAAATATTCTTTTAGTGCATTTTCAACCTATAATCTGTACTTACCATCGTGTTCTTCAACCAGTCCTGTCAAAACTATGTCTCTATATGAGCCATTTTTTGGGGGATTTTTTTCACCAAAAGGACTGATTACTGTTACATCGTGTCCTTTCTCGGCAAGGGCTCTCATTAAAGAACTGCCTAAAATATAGTGACTTCGTGCCGTTGCGTGGAATACTCCCAGAATTTTTGCACTATGAACATTATTTCTAAATACTAAAATAATAGCAAATATTAAAATTGTCTTCATGATTTTCTACAGCTTCGATCAAGAGTAAAATATTTACTACATACATTATATCACTACGTTTATTTTTATATCTTGTATCTTATCAGAATTAGTTAATGTGAAAACGAGTCAATTTAATGATTTGCACAAACTGGAGTGTTTTCTGAAAACCCTGCAGTTATAAATAGAAAAAAGTTTTAGTGCAAAATTTTCACATTATTAATTTTTTTGGAACTGTATAATAATCAGTGGTAACAAAAATAAGATCTGTCAGTTTTATTACATTATAATTTATTTTCTGTATTTGTACAGTAGAGTCTCGCTTATCCGGACTTGCTGGGACCAGACCCAGTTCGGATCAGCAAAAGTCCGGATTAAACGGAATAAGCTTTAAAATGTTTGTAAAACAAGTTTTAGACGAATAAGACTATTAACATTGATTCTTTCAATAACAGCAACCTGCTACGAGTAAACAAAACGACAATCAACTTTGCATTTACATTTTGGGAAGTACCTACAATACAATTAATTAATTGAACATTTTGTCAATATTAGTTCAAAGTACAACTAAGATATGGCGCCAGAACCGAAAATATAATGACAGGAAAATTGTGTGTTACTTGATTTTCTATACAGGGTGCGCCAGAACTCGCGCCCCAGAGAAGATGGAAAAAATGTTAAAAAAATTCTATCTGTCAAATTTTTTTGACATTTGACATTTTTTATGTCTATTTAATGATACCGATGATCTTGTATATGTTTTTTTTACAACTATTTAGTAAAGGTACCAAAATTTTACCAATAAAAGCCACAAATAACATTGAACAGAGTTACAATTTAGGATACAGCTTCTTTGTTTCCTCTTCTAATAGACTGTAGCAAAAAAAATGGAACATTATTTTTCTAACAGAAATAAATAGTCAAAGTGCAAATTTTAAACTCTCATAACTTCGAAATTTTTATAGATAAATTTTTTTAACATTTTTTTCATGTTTTTGGTATCTTACCTTATTTTCTCTGGGGCGCGAGTTCTGGCGCACCCTGTATTTAGTAAATTCTATGAGAGTGATTAATCTATATTAATCATTACTAAACTGAGTGAAAATGACTCCGGAGAGGAAATTGCAAGTGCACAACAGTCAGTTGTCATTTGTATACTTAAAAAAAAACGGGAAATGACAAGTTTTTTTTTCAATTTTTCTATGATGTAAACGTGTTTTATTAAAAATAGGTTAAAATATTTCAATGGCATGTCAGTTAAAAAATAAATAGGCTATATTTGGACAAATTATATTTTCGAATTTAATACTTAATCATAATCATAGCTCCGTTCTTCTCAATGAGGGATGTTAATCCTCTAGGCATAGACTCAATCAGGTGTTGACAATACTCTTGTACGAGTATTAAATTATGCCATTCTATAGTTGTGGCATTTAGGGGCAAAAACTTGAAAATTTTTACAGCAGTAGTCATAGTCCTTTCTCTTAAAAAGTTAATTAATTCTTCATTTTCTTGTTCATTTGTACTTTTAGGGCGACCCAAACCCACCTTGCGTGCGTAATTTGAAGGTGAATCAATTTTGCATAAAATTAAAAAGGTTTGCATAAATTGGAGAGTTTTGTGGGACTTCTTCAAATCAGGTCAACTTGATAAAGGTCATTAATTTTCTGGAAATGTGATGACTGAAGATTCACTGGTAACAAAGAAGATAAAATTCGACATTTGTATTAATTTATTTTTTCTTTTTGTATTTTTTTCTTACTAATAAAGCACAATAATTTTTTGATTATTATATAAACAACTACTAATACTACTAAAATTATTATTAAAAGAGACACAATTACATCTAAAAGAAAATATTTATACAAAGGCAAATCTAAACTGGCCACCCTCAAATGTTGGGCTCCTCCATGGCGAATCACATATTCAACCCAATAAATTGCCATATCCATGGGTTTTACTAGACGATCGTGAAACGATTTTGATTTACTTTTGGCCATTTCACGATACCTGAAAGAAATAATAATTAAAACTTAAAAGTTTTTCAAGAAATGATAATTACTTTGGGTTTGTTAAAAGTTCATTAATTTTTTCACTTAAAGTTTCTTCCGTAACGTCTCGGTATCCTAAAGATAGCCCATAACCTTGATTTACTGTTCTAAGTGCGTTTAATTTTTGATCACCAGCAAAAGGAATGGCCAAAACTGGAACACCATGATACACAGTTTCAGTGGTACTTAAAAGCCCACCATGGGTGATAAAAAGCTTGATATTTGGATGAGCTAAAATATCCTGTTGTGGAAGCCATTTTCCTAGTTTGACATTACTTGGTTGTCCCGGAAGAACGTCGTCTTCCCATTTCCATAGAATTTTTTGTTTTAGTTTTGAAAACGTTTTCAAAAAAACCTCTCTTTTTTCAACTGGCATTTCCGCACTTTTGATATTTGAACCTAGACTGAAGTAAATCACACCTTCTTTGGCATTGGCCAAAAATTCTTGCAAGTCTTTGGGTAGTTTTTTAACGGGTTGTACGTGAAATCCTCCGACATCTATCATATTTGGAACGTATGGAACAGGTTGGTTGAGACTTGGGTGTGAATTGAGTAACACAATGGATGCGTTATAAAGTACGTCGTCTAGTTCTAGATTACTTGGGAAATATTTTTTGACTAGTTTATTTTGTTGTGGAACTAAGTACCAATGAAAACAGAGTTGTTGAATAGAGTACATAATTGTATTTATTAATCTTTGATTAAAAGTCATTTCGCTGGAATAACTAAGCAAAGGTTCAGGAACATATGCCAATGGCTGGCTGTTTCCCACCAAAGGGTTTACCCAACTACTTGCACCAATAGTACTAAATAGAATCAAAGGAGCTTTGAAATGACTTGCAAATGCTTTATGAGCTTCATTATTGAATTGTTCCACAATGACAACGTCGAATTTTTCATCAGAATTTATCAAGCCTTGAACATTCGAATGTTGTAGAGTGTTTTCACTCATTTCTAACATTAATTTCACCATTAATGGTATAAGAAACAGAGGATTAGCTTTTTCCATATCAAAAATGTTGATTTCTTTTCTTAATTCTATAAACAAATTTATAAAAGTTAAAAAGAGTAATAAAAAAGCTTACTTTGAAAGTTTTCCATAAATCCTGTAAGAACTATATCTCTGTAGGAACCATTTTTTGGTGGATTGTTTTCAATGAAAGGACTAATCATTGTTACATCGTGTCCTTTCTCGGCGAGGCCTCTAAGTAAAGCATTGCCCAGAAAATAGTGACTAGGGGCTGTCATAGGGAACACTGCCAAAATTTTGGCACTATCAACATTACTTTTAAGAATTAATGCAATTACAAAAAACACGCACTTGTTCATTTTGTTTCGTTACTTAAATCGAATAAGTTTAGCTTTTAGAGACGAATCTTCTTATCTTATCTCATTAACCACATGTACAAGTATCTAAATGGGTTAATAAAATTAAAATTTAATTTGTTCTTTGAATATTTTTGAACAACTACTTACTATTTGACTCAAAATATTTTTATAAATTAAAAAAATCAAGAAAAAAAATTTATTTTGCCACAGTGTTTATTAGTTTTTAGATATTAATAATAAATAATAAATACTAAAATACTTGGAATAAAAATACGCTGTGTTGTGCTTGATAACGATTACTCTAACTTGTTGAAACATAGTCATTATTTGAATTAGTTTTACCTTGAACTTAAAATACAGTAGATGATGACTGTTAGAAAAATTATCGATTACTCACTCTTTTGAAAACAATGAAAAACATATTAAATTTTGACAATCTGGTAAACTTGTTGTATTTATAGAGTAGTAAAATTTGAATTAAAAGTTAGTACAGGTACAAGAACTCAGGAAGGAAATATTTATTAGAGGAAATAAAAATAGGAAAACATATTTATCTAGGGTGTTAAAAACGACTTTGTTTCTTACTGTACTCTTTTGTTTTTCACTAGACTTCAATTATCACGGTATAGTACTCGTCACGATATTTGAACTATCGTAAATCTTAAGTCGGGTATCCGAATTACCCTTAACAATAAGATATTGGAGTGGTTGTAATCACTGACGAGTCCGGACCATTTTACTTTTAATATACCAAAATATTTCAAATAAATATAATTTTTTTATTCATTTATACTATCTGCTCTTTGAACAAGAGTGGAAAAATAAAAAATTAATTAACTTCCTCCAGTCACAAATATCACAATAAAAATTTTACTTTTCAGCCATGGAGTAAAAATTTTTACATTTTTACTAATGTTGTCTCTTTCATGTTTCTTTTGCTGCTTCAGCAATTTCTACATTGTAGATCATCAACATTTGATGGTTTGCACTACTAACTGCACCAGTCATGTTAAATTAATAAACTCTTTGGCGCATATAGTTTTGTTTATATTCTCCCTGAAATACACAGGCACTTCTAAATTTTGTTTTTTCATTTAATAGCATGTTAAGTGACACCTCGTTTAAAAAGCCATTTTGTAAGAAATACAATGCATTATTTGTTTCCTAACTATTTGCAAAACCTACGTGATAAGAAAGGATCTTAAAGTACGTATTAGGCATGAAATTAGGCAAACTACACACGAAATATTGCAAAACGTAAGGAATGCATGTTATTTTCATTTTGCAATTTGTTAGTAAAGGAACGGTGTCTGTTTGACATTTTTTCCATTAAATAGTATCTATTTAACTTAAAAATTAGTTTTATGTTTTTATTACGTAAGCCAAATGGTGCCTAATAATTATGAATTTTATTTTAATTAAAAAGAGCGTAATTTGCTATAAAAAATATCAACAAAAAAAAACAAATTTGCTTTGTTCCACTTGTTAAACAGTAGAAGCGCGAGTGCCGCGTTTAAACAAATTAAAGAAATGTGTTTATTGACAGCTTCTGTGCCAAGTGTAAAAGTTTATTTATGTACTTGCAGTTTTTACTTCGAGGTTTGTTGTTTAAGCATTAATTACCTCTATAATAAATAATAATTTTGACTTGCCCTTCTCTGGACACTAATCAAAGCTTTTTCCCTCACATAAATGTTGTTAAACTCTAGTTTGATCCTGTATGTCAAAGACGCATTTGATACTTTTCCCAAAAACCGGCCTAGATCGGTATCTTAGGCCCCCGCAAAGATACCCTCTTTTCAACGCCTTGTGTTTAGGCTCCTCTGAAAATTGAAAATCGTCAATCGTTAGTTTCATCCTTTATCCCAAAGATGCATTTGGTAGTTTTTCCGAAGACCGCCCTGAATCGGTATCTAAGCCCCCCTTTTTTTAACTCGAGCGCGATCACGCCACTCTAATCAAAGTTTCCACCCTGCATAAACTTTTTACCTGAATGCTACAAATCACATTCTTTTTTATTTTAGAAGTGTATAAAATAGACTTACCTTCTTAATTCTCAATGAATCCTGTAAGGACTTTAAGTAGAGTGTACTTAGTAAATAGAGGATGTCATGAGAAATACTCCCAAAATTGTGGAATTTTGGGCACCACTTGTTCAAAATAATGCCCAATTGTTGTTTTTTATTTTATCTTATCAACCACATGCATCTACAGAATATGCTGTACTATGAATACTATGACTAATACAGTTGAAGACAAAATACTTTGGTCGTCACTTTTGTGACACTTTAATGTAAGTCAAGCTCTAACGTTAAAATGTAATGACAATTTCAAATTATTGACAGCTATTATATTTTCCTATCAAAAATATGTACATACAACTTGTCAACTATGATTGACAGTAGCTAAAAATAAGGTTAACAGTCCTAAAGCATGCTTTACAATTTAATGTCACTCAAGTGACATTAACGACCAAAGTATTTTGTCTCCAACTGTACGCGTACTGTAGTTTACAAAAAAGTCATGGTTTGTTGTAAGGTTGTTTTTTTTTATTAATTCTTACATGTTACTTACTTCAATAATTAATAAAATATCATAAAGACTCGTGTACGCTGTGATGTAACTGTTGAGCTTAATCATAATTAATACGTATTAAGTTATTAGTATTACCGTAGAGATTTTTGAAAAGATGACAAAAGCACATATTGTTGACTTGATTATTACGAGTAGACTCATTATTTATTACGCAATCTTGTAAAAAATAAAAATATAATTTAATTTAAATTAAAAAAATATAATATAATTATTTTTTTAATAAATACTTACATTTAAAATTAATGGTTCTTCAATTTTTCTTTCTTTTGCTTATGGCAGCTGAGAGCAGCAACGATTTTTACACATTTAAATAACATAAAAACCAAAAATACAATTATTACTGATACAAAAACAATCACATCGAAAAGAAGATACTTATACCAAGGTAAACCTATTGCTGCAACTTTCAAATGGGGTGCTCCTCCGTGTCTGATGACGTATTCCACCCAATAAATGGCAGTGTCTATAGGTTTGACAAGGCGATCGTGAAAAATTTCAGATCGTTTTTTGGCGTTTCTTGCATATCTAAAAAGTTAAATTAAAATAAAATTTACAAATTATGCTCTACTCACTTTGGATTTGAGAGCAATTCGTTCAATTTTTTAGTTAGATTTTCTTCGGTTAAGTCTTCGTAATATAAGTACAAACCGAACCCATTGTTGTATATATTCTTAGCATTCAGTTTTTGATCACCAAAAATTGGAATAGCTAGTACTGGTTTGCCATGGTAGATTGTTTCTGTGGTACTTAAGAGACCACCATGAGTGATAAACAGTTTCACATTTGGGTGTGCTGTAATTCAGTTATGAGTTTTAATATTTACATTCTTAGCTTTTCTTACCTAAAATATCCTGCTGGGGCAACCATTTTCCCAACTTCACATTTGGTGGTTGTCCCGGAAGAACGTCTTCTTCCCATTTCCACAAAACTTTTTGTTCCAACTTCGAAAAAGTTTTGAGAAAAGCGTCACGTTTTTCTGGTGGTAATTGAGAGCTGTGAATATTTGATCCCAGACTGAAATAAATAACACCGTTTTTGGCACCGTCTAAAAATTCCTGAATGTCTTTGGGTAGTTTTTGTGGTGGTTTTACATGAAAGCCCCCTATTTCAATCATATTTGGTACGTATGGTACCGGCTGGTTGGTGCTTTGATGAGAATTAATCAAGACAATTGAGGTATTGTAGATAATATCGTCGAGAGGTGGAGCATTCGGAAAATATTTTTTGACAAGTTCTCCATGTTTAGGAAATACGTAGAATTGGTTCAGTAATTGGGTATAAACACTCATCAATGAATTAACTGTTCTTTCGTAAAAACTCATGTTACTTGAGTAGCTCAAAATGACATGGGGCACATATGAAGGCGGTGCTGGATTCCCTTCCAATAAATTAACCCAAGCATTCGCACCGACTGTACTTAAAGTTATTAAAGGTGCTTTAAAATGTGGGGCGAGTGCTTTGAGAGCTTCGTTCATAAATTGCTCTACTATAACAACATCAAAAATTTCCTTTGAATTTATAAACTTTTTAAAGTTCGTGTGATTAAGTGTAAGTTCAGTCATTTCTAATACCATTGCATTCATAGATCCTAGCGTAAGGAAAGGATTTGAAACGTCTCGTTCAAAAAAGCTTTGTTGTTTTCTTCTTTCTAAAAGAATAAATAAATGATCGAAATTTAAGTGGAGTTTACGTACCATCAGCCATTTCTTTGAATCCAGTAAGCAAAATGTCTTTATATTTTCCATTTTTTGGCGGATTCTTTTCACCAAAGGGATTAATTACGGTAACATCGTGCCCTTTTTCAGCTAGAGCCCTCATTAGCCTACTGCCTAGGATATAATGACTGGGTGCTGGTATAGGAAACACACCCAAAATTTTAGCGCTTTGGACATTGTAAACCAAAAAGAATAAAAACGCTAGTGCAAATTTCATTATGATTAATAACTAGTCAATTTTTCAGTACTCCGCACTATTTCAAGCCTTTTTTAGTGATTCATTGTAGTTGTAATCTTAAATTGATAAACACGATCTAAAACTTAATCTCAGAATGACACGATTATAAAAACAGACAATCTTACTTGTTTTATTTATGGTTTTAAGGAGTTGTACTATGCATATTTCGAAATTTGTATAAGCGCAATTTTTCCTTATTAGTTAATACTAAAGTCCAAAGAGGTATATCACGCCACTGCTAAGTGATAGCTGCTGTTATGTTAGAGACTAGAATGAGAAGGTAACAATATACGTCACATCTGGATTCGTTTAATGAGAATAACCTCGGCTCCAACTACAACATAAATAGTAGCAGTAAGGGTATTCATTATATTCGCTTTCGACAAAATAGAAATGAGAAGGAGAATACTATCAGAGGATGTGGTTTTGTGTAATTTAAGTTGACTACAATGCTGTGCCTCAGACGATAAAATACGAACATTAATTTGCTTTCCTTCAAATAATACTTTTTTAAATATGTAAAGACCTTAGTGAATAATACTTTTGTTTTGTTGATTTCTGAAATTCATGATTTTTATTAATGTTAACTACAGCACAAGATGTAATATTAAGAACTTATTATACAGAGTGTTTGAGAACTCGCACTCTAGAGAAAAATGACGAGTAGGATAAGACACAAAGAACATGGAAAAAATGTTTAACAAATTCTATCTGTCATAAAGTTTTTACGTTTTTTTTTGAACATTTAACCTTTTTTATATCAATTTAATCCGACTATATTGTAGGTATACAGGCTGACCCAGCGAGTTGAAAAAGTCCATTAGTGACCTTGAAATGGTGAAATTAAAAAAAATTATATAGGACACTGATAGATACTAATCTAGTCCATCGCCTAAAATTATTTTCAACTATACAGCTTGTCTCAAAAATAAGTTACAATACAAATTTGTGTTTTTTTAATGAAACATCATATGCTTCTTAGCGTTTTTGGATGTAGATTTTTATGACGATATTTTAAGCTAAACTTTTATTGGTCGTTTTTGCTTGCTTTTAAAAATAAGACGGTTTTTATGACGAAAACATGCACTTTTTAAAAATTTATTACACAAAAACTAAGACATTTAGAAATATTTTTTTTACTTCCACAAAGAAGAAGGTACAAGCTGTAAGGTTGTAATTTTTTTTAGTGTGTTGCATTTGCAAAGATAAAAAATTAAGGCGTTTGTTAAAAGTTCAACAACTTAAAAAAATTTAATGGAACACCCTATTTATTGTTTTTGCGTTTAAAAGATTATTAAATTGTCTTTCTAATTTTTTTTTACTTTTAGGTGTTTATAATTAATAACTAAAAAGATATTTAACGTTAAACATTAAAAAAAATACTATTGTTTCAGTAGCCAAAAAGTGCACATTTGCACAAGAAATGGAAGAAATATCACTTAATAATCACCTTTGTGTTAAACTGAATCCATTATTCTTTATGTTTATAATAAAATAATTTGAATTTCAGTATTTATAACGACTTTTACAATCTCTGGATAAATCAAGAATAAGTGATCCGTGGTGGAATTACTATGGTTGCCATAGTATCAACAATTCCCAGATATTGATAGGCATTGTTGCTACAATTAATATTGAATGTTAAATACAGGCTGTCCGGAAAGTCGCGCACTTCCGTGACACTGTATCATCGGGCGGTGTCCTAGACAACAAGAAAAACGTTAAAAAAATCTATCTATAAAAATTTCGAATTTATGAGAGTTTAAATTTTGCACTTTGACTCTATTTATTTCTCTTGGGAAAATAATTTTTCCAGTTTTTTTTTCTACAGGCTATTAGAAGAGGAAACAAGGAAGCTGTATCCTAATTTGTAACTCTCTTTAATGTTATTTGTGGCTTTTATTGGCAAAATTTTTGTACCTTTACTAAATAATTATAAAAAAAACGTATACAACATATATACAAAATCATCAGTATCATTAAATAGACATAAAAAAATGTCAAAATTTTTTGACAGCTTGAATTTTTTAAACATTTTTTTTAGTACTCTGGGGGACTACCCAATTACTCCCTTTCAAGGAAGTGCGCGGCTTTCCGGACCCTCTGTATCTTTTCATTTATCAATTCTAGACATTAAAGGTTATTTTTTTTAGATAGACAATTTATCAATCTATTAGATGCAAAAATAAAAAATAGGGTGTTCCATTTAATTTTTTTAAGTTATTTAACTTTCAACAAACTTCTTCATTTTTTTACAAATGCAAAACACTAAAAAATTGCTACAGCTTTAAATTCTTTACTTTCTTATTTATTTTTGAGACATGCTGTTGAAAATAATTTTAGGTTATGCACTAGATAAGTATCTATCAATGCCTTATGCATTTTTTTTAAATTTTATATTTAAAGGTCACTAACTTTTTCAACTCGCTGGGACAGCCTGTATGTTTTTTCATAAGTATTCAGTAAAAGTAAAGTAAAACTTTAACAATAAAGGCACAAATAAGTTAAATATAGTTACAATTCAGGATTCAGTTTTTTTGTTTCATCTAGCTTCTAATAGCCTGCAGTAAAATAACAGGTAAAATTATTTTTCCAACAAAAATAAATAAAGTCAAAGTGCAAAGTTTAAACCCTCATAATTTTGAAATTTATGTAGGTAGAATTTTTTAACTTTATTACCATTTTTCTGCTATCTTATCTTACTTGCCGCTTTTCTCCGAGGCGCGAGTTCAAAACACTCTGTATTATTCTTTGGAATGTTATGATAACTTCATAGAAATATATTAACCTTGATTTATAATAATTATAAAAAAAACAGGAAAATAATAGGATCAGCTGACTTTCAATTTTCTATTTTTGTTACTTAACAGAGAAATCACAATAAAATAATTACAAAAACAAAATCTAATCATGTTATTTCACTTTGCTTAGTAGTTAATACAATATTGTTGTACTAATGTTTTTTAACTTTTTCTTTACTCTCATTTTTCCTAAAGAATGAAATTAAAAACTTAATAGAATTATAAATTACATAAAAAACTAAGAACGTAACAGAACAAATAAAAAGATAAACATCAAGCGACAGATACTGATACCAAGGAAGATCCAATCCTGCCACTCTTAAATGTGTTGCCCCTCGATGACGTATCACATACTGTATCCAATAATCGGCATCATCTATTGGTTTATTCTGACGATCGTGCATTATTTTTGACCGTCTTTGCATATTTTCCCGATATCTAAAAACCAACAATAAACACTTAACTAAAAAAATTGGAACCAAAACACTTACTTAGAATTGCCCAAAATGTCTTTAAGAGACTCTTCTAATTTTTTCTCGTTTAGTTCACTGTATAAAATATATCGACCACAACCATTCCATGTCGCTTCCATTGCATTTGTGACTTGATCCCCAAAAACTGGAATTGCCAAAATTGGTACTCCATGGTACACACTTTCAATCAAACTCAAAAGACCACCATGAGTTATAAAAGCTTTAATATTTGGATGGGCTAAAATGTCCTGTTGGGGTAACCACTTCTCCAATTTAACATTAGAGGGTTGTCCCGGCAAAACATCATCTTCCCATTTCCACAAAACTTTTTCTTTGAGTCGTGAAAACACTTTAAGTAAAGCTTCACGTTTCTCGATTGGAAGATTAACACTTTGAAGGGCTGATCCCATGCTGAAGTAAACCACACCTTCTTTGGCATTATCTAAAAATTCTTGGAGGCCTTGAGGCAGTTTTTTGGGAGGCTTGAGGTGAAAGCCGCCGATGTCAATCATGCTGGGTACTCTGGGTACCGCTTTGTTGGTACTAATGTGTGAATTTAGCAACACTAAAGAAGCATTGTAGAGTATGTTGTCTAAGTCTGGAGCATCGGGAAAATATTTTTTCATGATTTTATTTTGTGCCGGAAAGAAAAGCAAATTTCGGTTCAGTTCTCCGAAGACATAAATTATGTTGTTTTTCAGACGGTGGAAAAAGTTTTTGTGATCAAAATCAATTTTTTGTTCTGGGATATACGAAGGCGGTGCCGGATTAGCAACTAAGGGATTGATCCAAGCGTTCGAACTGAATGTTACAAATAGGACAAGTGGGGCTTTGTAGTAATAAGAGAAAGCTTTCAGGGCGTCATTGACGAACTGTTCCACAATTACGATGTCAAATTTTTCGTTTGATTTTAGTAATTTTTGGACATTGGGGTGGCTTAATGTTTTTTCCACATTGTCGTTTCCGAGGTAGTTCATCATAAGGCCATAAGTGACAAAATCCATTTTGTCAATTTCAAATAAATCAAAATGTTCTACAACAAACTCATGTGATGTACTATATAAATAGGAATTGCAAGGTCATACAAACACAAACATATCTATGCATAAAAATTTAACTTACTTTTATCATTAACTTTAATAAAATCGGTGAGAATTATGTCTTTATAGGACCCATTTTTACAGGGTGTTGTTTCACCAAATGGACTAATCACAGTGACATCGTGCCCTTTTTCTGCTAGACCTCTCATAAGGCTACTTCCTAGTATGTAGTGACTTCTTGCAGGAAGCGGAAATATTCCTAAAATTCTTGCACAGTTTCCGGTTTTGATCACAATTATTAATAAAAGTATAACCATTAATTTCATTTTTAAGCTTAAATATCACAAGGTGGTGTTAATTTGTCTGAGTGGAGTTTACGACTGACTACATTATATTTACTCTTCAGTGTTGTTTAAAATAGAGGTTATGGAATTGGAGAGACCGAACTCGCTTCAAGTAAAAATTATCTGGTTGATTCACCTGTAGTGGGGCAAGGTAATCTTCTTAATTGTTTGAACATTGTTTAAGATGGACGTGGAGAGGAGACAAATTGTATTAACTAAACGTATTAAAGATTACTTGGTTGTGCGTTTTAATAATTGCCATTTTAAAAAATCATTTATATTTCTTTGTATGACTAATCTTGCTATTTGTTTTACATTTTTCCTTTTGTATAAACGTGCACAATAATTTTACTAACATATACATAATGAATAAAGTGCATATAAGAAAACAGAGAATATCAACCATGTATACTTGATACCAGTACATTTTCAAAACAGGTGTTTCAAAACGAACGCCTCCATGTCGGATCGCATATTCTATCCAATACAATGCAAGATCTAACGGTCTCACGACTCGATCTCTCATCAAGGTTGACATTCTTCTTGCATTTTCAGAATATCTGCAATTAAAAAAATATATTTAATTACTAGGTAAATACCGTCAAGTTTAAATTACTTCGAGTCATTGATTGTTTCGTTTATTAATGAGAAAAACTTCTCTTCTGTTAAATCCTTCAAAGATATAGTATTAGCAATTCCGGCATTCTTCGCTCGTGCTGTATTCATTTTCTGATCTGCAAACACAGGTATTCCGAGCATTGGAACACCATTAAATATGGCTTCAGTGGTGCTTAACATGCCACCATGAGTTATAAATAATTGTATATTGGGGTGAGCTAAAATATCAGCTTGCTTTAACCATTTTGAAATGAAAACATTTTTGGGTCTTTCTGGTAAATCTTTTTCAAATTTCCATAGGACTTTCTGTTTTAGTCGTCCCAAAACTGTCAAAATTATATTTAACGTTATCGGTGTCAAATCTGAACTTTTTAAATTTGAGCCTAGACTAAATAAAATTGCCCCATCAGTGGCTTCGTCCAACATTTTCTGTATATCTTTATTTAGTGGGTTTTGAGTGATATGAAATCCTCCAATTTCAATCATATTGTAGGGCAAAAGGACATTTTCGGATGTTGTAAAGTGTGAGTTTAGTAACATAAGACTTGCATTGCTTATGATTTTATCAAAATTGATAGACGCTGGGAAGTATTTCTCCAAGTATTCTTTCTGAATAGGGTAAAACACCCACTTGCGATAACAATAGTCAAAAATCGTGCCGACCAAATTCCGAATTCTTTGAAAAAAATTCATTTGGTTGGTATAACTGGTGTATGAAACTGCATTAATTGATGGTAGAGTTGGATTTCCCATGTACCCTTTGTTCCATTCAGTCAAACCCATTGAACTAAATAAGACCAAAGGTGCATTAAATTGAGTCGCAAAGCCTTTCATTGCATCATTAAAAAATTGTTCCACGATCACCAAATCAAAATTTTCGTCCGAATGTAACAATTGTTGTACTCCTTTGTCTTTTAAAGTAACTTCTGTTATAATATTCCCGTATTGGTAAGTCGTCAATATATTTTTAAACAACGATTCGTTGTCAAGTTCGTATAAATTAATTCCTGAAACCAATCTATTATTAGTACTTTTCTTTTTAGTGTTCATCAAGGTTACCATCACTGTTTTCTATCACGTCACTCGTTTCAATCGTTTTATAATTAGGCGGTGCATTGTGGGGTTTGTATGGACTAATCACAGTAACTTCATGTCCTCGATTGGCAATTTCTTTCATTAAAACTTCAGCTAAAATAAACTGGCTGTAACCAGGAGCGGGGAAAACGCCTAAAATTCTTGCACATTGTTTGATGGAAAATAATAAATTTATACAGAAAATAAACAACACTGGTTTCATCTCACTTCCTTCCTCAACTAAAACATTTCAGTTCTACAGTAATTTACCATCCGTCAAGGACGCTCGGTGTGTTGACACCGGTCTAGAGATAATTAGATTCTTGCCAGCAATAGAATTATGCTAAGTCATTTAATACAGGTATTATCAATGTTAGGTATAAAGAAATGTTTCTGTATTACTCGTAATAAATGAAGATTTATGAATTATTGTGTAATCTCTACGCAAAATTAATACATAGGTAAACTTAATTTAAACTTAACAGGTCTGAATCTTATTTAATCTTATCACAATATTAAACATTTTGATATATTTTGTCGTCGTGTTATTGAGTCTTTGGATATTATATTTGTTACATTTTTGGTTTCCTATACAAGGTGTCCCTTTTTCGAGCTCCACCATGGAGATCTCAGTTATTATAATAGATACGAGATCAGTTAAATTAGGGCAAAGTTGAGCATTTTTTATGCTGAACAATTAACTGAAAGAAAATTTGATGTGTCATTCTTAGTTTTTGAATTATTGGGAAAAACAGAAATTTGTAATTTTTGTTTATATTTTTTCAAGCGAAAACCAATAACATCTTAGTTAAAAACATCTAGTTCTTTTAGTTTTTGCTTAAATGAATAAAATGAAATTACAAATTTCCGTTTTTTTTCCATTAATACAAAAACTAAAAATGACACATTAAATTTTCATTCAGATAATTGTTCAGCATGAACAATTACTAGCTAATTTAACCGACCTCGAATCTCTTATGATAACTGAGATCTCTATGGTGGCGTCCAAAAAACGGACACCTTGTATGTTATTAACTTTCTGATTTTTACATAAAAATCAAACTCTGTAGAATATTTTTAACTAAGTATTGTTTTTAAATATGAAACGAATGCTAAACAAATAAATAGGTTTCTTCATATCTAAAACATAGCGCGCTCTTTGGGTAAAAGATTCAACAATTAAAAAGGACAACTTTTCATTTTCTTTTTATTAATATTTTTACACAATTAATTATTTTTCTTCTTTTTGCTGACGGTTTTGGCTTTAGATTTTCCTTTGAGCAATACTTTGCAAATTTTTATTATAGTAAAAACCACAGAAAAAATCACAGCCAAAACAAATCCGACAATATCGAGCAGATTCCTTTGATACCACATTAAATCCATTCCGGGATATCTGAGATGTGGCGCACCCTCGTGCCGGATAACGTATTCAATCCAGTAAAGAGCGTTATCTAAAGGTTTAATCGGTCGGTCTTTCATTACAAATGACCTTTTTCTAATGTTATTCCGGGACCTACAAAAATATTTTTATGTAAAAATCTACAAGTCGAAAGTTTGAATATTACGTAGGATTAGTTAGTACTTGATTCAAAGCTTCTGTCAAAGTTTCTTCACTTAATTCCTGATAAGGAACTGCGACAGCATACCCGTATGAAACTGCCAACTGTATGTTCATTTTTTGGTCGGCCATTACAGGAATTCCCACAATTGGGACAGCATGGTATACACTTTCCATGGTACTTAATAAACCTCCATGGCTAATAAAAGCTTTCACGTTAGGGTGGGCTAAAATATTTATATATAAATTTGACAATTAGTTGGAAAATTGACACAAACCAAGAACGTCCGATTGGGGTAACCACTTCATTACTTTAACATTTTTTGGTAACCCAGCAAAATCATCTTCTTCCCATTTCCACAAAACATTTTCCTTCAATTTCGAGAAAGTTGTTATAAGCGCTTTCCGTTTTTCTGCAGGGAATTGTGCACTCTGGACAATCGAACCCATCGAAAAAAGTATTACACCATTCTTGGAATCATCTAAAAATTTCTGCAAGTCTTGGGGTAACGCTTTAGGCTCTTCAATGTGGAAACCCCCGATTTCAACCGCATTTGGAACCAGAGGAATGGCTTCATTAGCACTAACATGCGAATTGATTAAAATCAGGCTGGCATTGTTAACAAAATCATAGAGATCTGGACCTCCTGGGATATATTTTCGGACGAGTTCTCGATGTTTCGGAAGATAATTCCAAAGATAGTATACAATCATCGAAGTGTCGTAGAAAGTGTTCCTCAGGCGCTGCCAGAAATTCATACGACCGGTGTATTCAACTAGAATATTGGGGACATAAGAGGGAGGAGTTGGGTGTGAAAGAAGGAAACTTTCAGGGGCGTAGAGTGGCATTGAAGAGAATAGAATCACCGGTGCTTTGAAATGATGAGCGACGCCGAGAAGGGCCTCATTCAGGTATTGATAAATAATCACACCGTCAAATTTTTCGTTCGATTTTAACAAAGTTTGGACTTCTTTGCTTTGAATTAAATGTTCAGTGAAGTTGTAACTTATCTCGAAAAGAAATTTCGCTTTTTCCATTGGATTTGCACTTTCGAATTCAAACATTGAGTTTCGGCGGGCTACAATTTTATTATTTGTGAGATAGATACAAATACACAACTGTGAATACATACCACAAAAAAATGTTTGCAAACTTTTGACTGGTATGACATTTAAATTTTTCGTTGGCGTTTTTTCCTCAAAAGGGGTTATAAAAGTAACTTCATGTCCTTTATTTGCAATCTCTTTAAATAATTTCGATGCGAGTATGTGGTGACTTTTAGTAGATGTTTGGAAAAGAGCTAAAAATTTGTAACATGCACAACTGTAAACAAATATACTTAAAAGTCCGAAAAGTTTTAACAGATACATCTTGTCGGAAAGTTTTGTGTGACTGAGAACTCGTAAACGTCGACTGATTATGATTATATCAGGCGAATGAGCCAATCACAAGATAAGCGTTGTAAACAATGAATTAACTAATAAAGAACTCTAGAAGTGACAAGAATGGCAACAAAGGTTATTGATTTGAAAAGATTTTTTTTGAGTCTGAAAAACAATTTTTTTAAAAACTGTGAGACTTGGTTAAGTAAATAAAACAACAAACAAAAGATAAAATAATGTTTTTCTAATTGTAGATATTAAAGTTTGTATTTTTCTCAACCGTTTTTAGTTGAGAATGTTATTCAATCTTCAACTGTGGATAAAATTAAGTAATACATAATAACAAAAAAGGTTGTGGAAATTATTTGTCAGAAAATTATGTCTTAAATAATAGTCTGCCAAATGGTTTCTTCTTCTTTTGCAAATAAAAAGAAAAAAAATATAAAAATACTAGTGATTATTTATGATTAGAAAAAGAATTGTTTTAAACTCGTGTGTAATATTTAGTTAATACGCTCTATTAGTGTGACGTCAGCAAGGTACGTGACTGTACCTTTGAAGCTAAACAAATAAAAGTTTATTTCTTGAATCCTGGACGTGTAGGGGGATTGTTTCTAAGGAAATAGTTGCTATGAAAAATGTGTGTCGTTTCGTAATGGTTTTAACAATTGTAGTCAACATTTCTGTAATTTAATCTGTTCTAACCTCACTTTCTGTGTACGGCAAAAATATGTGTACAGCATTGCCAGAATGTTGCAAACGACAGGAGTGGATAGGTCGTACCAAAACAAAACAAAATAAAAAATATTAACATTCACATAATGTGTATTTGGCTGAGAATATAAATTATTATTTGTTTACAAGTAAATATAAATATCTAGTAAAAAAAATCTAGTATCAATTTAGTACTCTAGTATCACAACTGGCAACACTGTGTGTTTAGCTTCAGTACAGTCGCGTCTGTGACGTCACCTTTAATAGCCCGTATTCAGCATTTAGTGATATTGGTATTGTTGGTTGCGGTAAAAAACTATTTAGAATAGTATACAATGGCGAGCCTAACATGCTCCCTTGTAAAACAAACGTTTGGATGTCAAATAGCTGTCTTGAAATTGACGGAACTTATTGCGAGCCCCAACTTCAAAAAATCGTCTCTTCAACATGGTAATTATTTTCACTTTGTTGAAGTAAGAGACTGGTGACACAATAAAATATTCGTTAATTAGTTTTTGACGTGGTGTTTTGACATTTATATTTATTTTTGAAAGATGATTGACAACATCAAACAAAATTTCACAGGGAAACTTTTTTTTTGACAAAAAGATCAAGTTTCAAAATGACATTACCAGTCAAAAGTTAATGCTCGCCATTGTACAGTGATGGACAGTGAATTTTGTCCACCCAATTTGGCAGTTTCTGTGAATTCACAAAAATTCACTGTACTGTGTGTTTTATTGTCATGATAACTGACATTCAAATACGTATTTCAAATTTAATCAAATTCGAAATGTCAGCAGTAAATGCGTTTAATAAAATAAAAATTATCTGGTACAAGAAGGTTGTACCTACCTATTTCTCAAAGATGTGTCTCTATACTTTTGGGCATACCAAGGACTACCATTTAAAGGAGAAAGGTAAAAAGTAGCAAGAAGCATCGAGCATTGTGTCAACATGACAAACGTTAATCAAAATTCTGAAACGAGGTTAGAAAAGACTAAAGACTAATTTACACTTTTAATCTGTCAGGGAAATTGGGTGGACGAAATTCACTGTCGATCACTGTACCTCTCTCGTGAATAACAGTGTACAGGGTGAATTTGAATTTGCTAGCATAATTTTAACTTATATCGAGCGATCAAGATAATTTGTAATCGAGTCATCCTTGCCTGTGAAAACGTATGTCTGTAAAGTGTCAAGTAAAATGACAAGTCGATAGGGTAAAATGGCACGATCAAAAAGGTGATGATTATAATAACTAAATTTATAATTTACCTTCAAAAAAAGCGGTCCTACTCGTATTATTATTCGTCGGCGACTAATTTCAGCCCATTTTGCCGTTTTACGTTCCGACTTGTCATTTTATTTGACGTTTCACGGGCAGTTAGACATACGTTCTCGGATGCAGAGATGACTCGATTACAAATTATCTTGATCGCTCGATATCAACTTGAAAAAGAACCCTTTAGTGATATTTCGATCATGACCGAAATAATACCACACACTTGATTTATTGGTGGTCACTGAAATAATTGCGTGAAATAAGCGCAAGTAAATGTGATAAAAGTTTTAAAAACCGTAACAAAATACTACAACACATACTGACTCAGAAACATCTCTCAGAGTGTTGTTTTCATTTTCATACTGAAAATGTTGTTCATGAACAACACGTATTACACATCAAAATAACCAATTTGATGTGTAATACGTCGAGTTCGTGCACGGGGATTTTTGTCAACAACGTCCAAAATTTGTTTTTAGACATCAAGTATTCGATCTTCTCGATGACGGCCAGCTTCTTCATTTTCGGAATTTAAAAAATTCATAGTTTTCACGTTTAATAAATCATGAAAATAGGCGGAACTCGTGTGAATCTCAACGCCAAAAGTGCACTACTGATAACGAAAAATCATAAAAACGAAGCGATTAAATTAACAAATTTGCGTTAGCCAGCAGTTTTAAAACAATTTTGACTAAAATTTCAAATGTAATTTTCTTGGAAACTACACATTTTTGGATGAGACAATTTAAGTTGATTCAGCAGTTTTATCAGTGGACCATTACCTACGTGTTGAAATTATGCTAGCCAATTCAAATACACTCTGTATACAGAATGGTTCCGTTTTAATCGGAGAAAATTCGGGGATAGTAAGAACATGTGAAAATAATGTGGGGTTGTTCTATGAACAATTATTAAAAATGCTTCTTTATCACTTATCATAGATAAATGGCGCTTAAGAAATCGGTACAAAATAACAGTCATCACTCAGTTAGTGTGATTTTAAAATATAGGCCGTAGCTCTCTCCCTTTAGGAGATATTAAGAAAAAAATGAGAACAAATTTCAAATTTTGGCGTCATTTATCTTTGATAAGAACTTAAGGAAGCGTTATTGAACAATTGTTCGTAGGACAAATCCATATTATTTTCACGTGTTCTAACTATTCCTGAATTTTTGCCAATTAAAACAAAACCAGCAATGTGTAGCAAAAGTTTAAAATAAATATGTTTAGTTTAATTTCTTCTTTATTTCGTTTTCATTTTCTGCCTTGCCACACAATTTTGACAATTGTTTAACAACAATAAAAACCAATCCTAATATTATAACACTTGTCAACCCAATAAAAACCGCGACATCGAGTAAATATCGTTGGTACCAAGCCAGATCTATTCCAGGGTATCTGAGATGGGGCGCCCCTTCATGTCGTGCGACATACTCGATCCAATAAATGGCATAATCTAAGGGGTGTATTGCTCGATCTTTCATTACTTTCGACCGCTTTATCACATTTTTTTTGTAGCTAAAAACACAATTGATTTTGTGAATTTCATGGATTTGAATTACTTTCGATCATTTAAAATTTCATTCAAAGAGAAGGATAATTTTTCTTCCGATAATTCTGCGTAGGGAACGGCAATACCAGACCCTGCTGCCACTGCAAATTCCATATTTGCCTTCTGGTCGGTAAAAACCGGAATCCCTAATGTTGGTACTCCATGATAAATGCTTTCCATTGTGCTTAGAAGACCGCCATGTGTGATAAATACCATTACATTTGGATGAGCTAAAATTGTTTATTTTTGCTACTAATGGTACTAAAAGCAATGACAGTGTACCTAAAACATCCGACTGTGGCAACCACTTTAGTAATTTGACATTTTGGGGCTTTCCTTCCATTTTTTCACTGTCCCATTTCCACAGCACGTTTTGTTTAAGTTTGGAAAATGCTTGAATAAGTGCTTGTAATTTTTCTTTTGGCATGTTTGAACTTTTCAATAATGTCCCCATTGAGAATAACACAACTCCCTGTTTGGAATTATCCAAATATTTCTGAAGATCCTCCGGTAATTTTTTTCCTTCCTCAAGATGAAAACCACCAATTTCGACAACATTCGGTATTTGAATTGTAGCATCATAAGAACTCAAATGCGAGTTAACTAGCAATAAACTGGCATTATTAAGAAAATCGTACAAATCGGGTTGTCCGGGTATATATTTCTTTACTAGTTGTCTGTGTTTTGGTAGTACGACCCATTGGTGATAAAGAATCGAATAAGCATCGTAAATACTGTTACAAAGTCGTTGCCAAAAGTTCATACGCCCTGTATAGGGTGTCTGGATATTTGGTACATAGGATGATAATGTGGGATGTCCAAGAAGAAAACTACTCCATGAAAAAAGGGGCATCGGTGCAAGAAGTACCACCGGTGCTTTAAAGTGGTGGCCTATACCAAATAAGCCTTCATTTATAAATTGGGGTAAAATTACAAGGTCAAAATGTTCGTCCGAGTGTAACAGTTTTTGTATTTTTTCATTTCGAAGCAATTCTTCTGTTACAAAAAGCCCAACGTTATTCACAAAAATCACATTCTCGAAAAGTGTTTGCTCGTTGAGTTTAAATAAATTCTTCTTGTGCCCTTAAAATAAAAATAAAATATACATACACTAGCTAAAATGCAAACTGGTTCTCTTTATACTTATTTATATACTTACGAGTATCACTTAATTTTTTTAAATATTTTTTTAAGAAATAATCAATTTTTATGTTTAATTTTTTCAAAAAATATAGAACGGAATCTAAAAGGAGATAAGTAGGTACTTACGATTAAATACAGGTATTATTTCCTCTACACTAATTTCCTTAAAACTGTCCAGAGATTCCGTTTGAGGAAATGGATTAACAAACGTCACATTATGTTTTCTTTCTGCTAATTCTTTTGCCAGTTTAGAGGCTAAAGTGTGATGACTATGAGACGGAGTAGGAAAAATTGCCAAAATATTGTAACATTCCGAAATACACAAAAGAGTACAAAACAGAAACAAATTTCGAACGCACATGTTTAGATACGAAGTTGATAATAAACTTTGCAGCTGATTATGTCATCGGTTAAATTTATGTAAGTGGCAATCAAGGCCACGTGTTTGATTTGCAATAAAATAGCACATCACAATTAACTAGACAGATAGCCTAGATGTTGTATTTATTTCTTTATTTATTTTAAATAATTAAATTAAGATATAAAATTTAGTTAATTTTTTCTTTGGTTACACGTTTGCCAATAATGTGTTTTATAGTTAAATAAATTACCAAAAAGATAAGAAAAATTGTAAACATGGCAAAAGCGCTAACATCCAGCAAATTTCTTTGAAACCAATTCAAATCCATTCCGGGGTACCTAAGATGGGGAGCTCCTTCATGACGTATAACATACTCAATCCAATAGATAGCGTTATCTAACGGCTTAATTGGACGATCTTTCATAATTTTTGATCGTTTTAAAACATTTTCTGTATACCTAAAATCAATTACTTATTATTAACTATTACAATATGTTTTTTATAGTAACATACTTTGGATTATTTAAAATTTCTTCTAAAGCATAAGATAATTTTTCTTCAGTGAGGTCTTGTAAAGGTACCAAAAGAGCATAACCGTACGAAACTGCAATTTCCATGTTTGTTTTTTGGTCAGAAAAAATAGGAATTCCTATAAGTGGTACTCCACGGTAGATACTTTCCATAGTACTTAATAGTCCACCATGGGTGACGAAAGCTTTGACATTTGCATGAGCTTGAAATATTTAAATTATTTTTTTTTAGGTATTCTAATAAGTTAATAGTACCTAAAATGTCCGTTTGTGGCATCCATTTCATTAATTTGACATTCTTTGGTTGTTCTGGAAGTTCCTCCGACTCCCATTTCCACAAAACATTTTGTTTTAATTTCGAAAATGCTTTAAGAATTGCATTCCTTTTATTTCGTGGTAAATCAGAACTTTTAAGATTTGAACCCATCGAAAAAACTATAACCCCATTTTTGGAACTATCCAGAAATTTCTGTATGTCTTCTGGTAATTCCTCTGGTTCTTTTAAATGCATGCCACCCATTTCTATTACATTTGGTATTTGAATAGTAGGTTCGTTGGCGCTTACGTGAGAATTGACTAATAGAAGACTAGCATTGTTGAGAAGATTGTATAAGTCTGGTTCACCTGGTATATGTTTTTTGACCAGTTGTCTATGTTTTGGTAAAATAATCCATTGATGGTACAGTATCGAATAAGTATCGTAAACACTATTACAAAGGCGTTGCCAAAAATTCATATGGCCTGAATATGGGGTCAGAAGATTTGGGACATATGACGAGGGGGCTGGATGGGCTAAAAAATGTTTGCTCCAGGCAAAAAGGGGCATTGAAGACATTAAGACAAAAGGGGCTTTGAAGTGATAAGCAAGTCCAATTAAGCCTTCGTTTACAAATTGTGCCAATATTATTAGGTCGAAATGTTCTTGAGAATTTAACAATTTTTGTACGTTTTTGTTCTGATAAAATTCTTCTGTCACTGCATAACCCATATTAGTGAGGAATTTCACACTATTGAAAACAGTCTGATCGTTTAAAGAAAGTAACTGTTTTTTGCGTTCTGTAAATTAAAAATTATAAATCAGTTCTGACTAATTTTATATTTCAGTTTATACCTTTTCATTCATGCAAAAGTTTGTTAGTTTTCGAGTTAGTATCTAATCAGCTAAAATGAAAAGTGTTATTTCAAACAGTTAATCACTGGTACTTACCATTAATTACCGGAATTATACTTTCCAAAGAAATTTCTCTAAGATTTTTAGTCTGGGTTTTTTGAGGAAATGGGGTGAGGTAAGTAACTTCATGGTCTCTCTTAGCCAATTCCTTTACAAGTTTATACGCTAAAGTTAAATGACTGTGAAATGGTGTAGGAAAAACAGCCAATATTTTGTAGCTGTTGCAAAGACACAAAAGTGTACAACATATTAGAATTTTCAAGTACATTGTTGCTAACTTGGTTGCTCGAGTTAAGCTACGAAATTTACTTTAAAAGCCTAGTTTAAATAGATAAAGAATCAAGGCTAAAGTTGATAAATCCGATGTTTTTGGAACTAATGATAATATTATACATATAATGTTTATATGAATCTACTTTGCAGTTATCAGAGATAAGGTGTTGTAAAATTTTAACTGGTTTTATTTTCAAAATTATTTGTAAATTAAATAATTGATAAAGAATATTTTATTATATTATTATCTGTAAATAATAAAATAACGATCAAAATAAGTAGCGAAATTATTTTGTTTATTCATAACGCTTTTATTAACTATTTATCTTTCTTATCTGTTGATACTGGTTTTGTTAATTTTTTTTTCCTAATCAGACCAAACAAATTTCGAATAAAATAGAAAATTACAAAAACCAGAGTCAAAAGAAAAGAAAAAATATCGAGCATTTCCCTCTGGTACCATTTAAGGTCAAGACTGGCAGATCTAAGATATGGAGCTCCTCGATGACGAATAACATATTCTATCCAGTAGATAGCAGAATCAATGGGTTTCATGGGTTGGTCGCGCATTAATTTTGACATTTTTAAAGCATTTTGTTTGTATCTATAATTATTTTCTTAGTTTTTCTTTATTTTTTTTTAACATTACTTACTTTGGTTTATTTAGAACTTCTTGTAAGGCTTTATACAAACTATCTTCAGTTATGTCCTTCATAAGAATACTAACCGCATATCCTCTTTTGACAGCAGTGGCCAAATTGTTCTCCTGATCGGCAAAAGAAGGGAGACCAACTACAGGAACTCCAAAATAAACTGCTTCAATTAAGCTTGAGACACCTCCATGTGTTATAAAAGCTCGTATGTTAGGGTGAGCTAAAAATAAAAAATTATCAACACTAATTACATAAATGATAAATGATAAATGATAATTTAAGCTAGATGCACAAATCTTTGTCGAGTGGTATTTCTTAAAGCAACAAAGATGAGTGCTAATCTAGTTATTTAGATTATCTAGAGATTATTTTTTAAACTATATATAATTACATTCGTGAAAAAATAGTCACTGTAATTAGCTACTAACAAGTGACGCTATTGGTTGATTTGAATTTTTTTCTCATTACGATTGGATGACAGAATTGTTTAAAAAATAATCTGTGAAATTCTACAAAACTTAAATTTTACCCAGTACACTTTGTTGTGGCAACCATTGAAACGTTTTAACATTTTTGGAAATGTTCTTCAAGTCACTTTCATATTTCCAAATAACATTTTGTTTAAGTTTTGAAAAAACATTAAGGAATAGTGTGTGTATTTTGGAATCAAAGTCTTTACTTTTCATACTTGAACCCATTGAAAATAAGATGACTCCATTTTTTGCATCATGAAGGTAATTTTTTAGATTTTCAGGGAGTGTGTTTGGTGTTTTTACGTGATAACCACCGATATCCTTAACAGCAGGCAAATTTGGAACAGCATCATAAATAGTACTATGACTATTGCTTAACACGAGGCTGACATTATACATCACTTTATTCAGACTAACTTCAGTTTTGAAATATTTTTTAAACAACTTGTTCTGTTTCGGTAGATAAATAGTTGCTCTTAGCAATTCCAAAAGAGTATTTGTAAAAAAATTATTTAACTTGTCCCAAAATGTGTCAAGTTTTGTTTGAAGATTAAAGGAATCTAAGACGTATGATGATGGAGCAGGAGCCCCAACTAAGTGATTAGATCGGAAACCAAGTCTGATCGGAGTTAGAATGATAACAGGGGCGTTAAAATGGTATCCCATTCCGATAACAGCTTCGTTGAAATATTGCTCTAGGATTACTAAATCGTAACGCCTACTTGAATCTAACAAGTTTTGTACTTGTTTGTTGTTTAACATGAGTTCAGTCAAGTCAAGCCCCAAATTAAAATCAAACAATGTCCTCTCTATGGTGCCTTTATATTTAAAATTAACGAGTTCATGCGGAACTTCTACAAATTATAAGGTTATCATTAACACTATGATAAAGATGACAAACCTTTCATGCGCTCCAGCAAATCTTCAGTGAAAATATATTCGTAGTTTTTGTCTGAGTCATTGTTCGGAAAAGGAGAAATAAATGTGACTTCATGATTTTGATTCGCTAATTCTTTAACTAGACGAAAAATTAGGTTAAAGAAATTGAATGTAGGAACTGGAAGAATCATCAAAATCTTGGCACAATGTATTCCAGAGACACAAAAGAGAAACAGCAATTGTAATTTCATTTTGTACAATAACTGTGTAAAAAGTAAAAGTTTGGTATACAATAAGGACTACCTTTATTTGCGTAAAATTGTGATAACAATCATACGAGTAAGTTAAAGAATGATTATTAAAACACTAAATGGGCTATAAATGCAAATTCACATTTATTTGCCTGCCAATTTAAACTCGTATAAATGTGTTCTTTTAAAACCCTTTTCAGTTGTTTTTTTAACTGTTCATTATATGTGCTATTTTTCTCTTCTAGAGGAATTTAAAAACTACCAATGAGTTAACACGTTTTATTGTTATTACTTGTTCTATTGTATCAAGTAGTCTATTTGCGATAAAAGAAAGACTATCCATCAAAATTCAATGGCGTACAGTTGGGGACACGGAATCCTGGGCAGTCTTTTGTTGTCATTTCAAAAAACGTCAATGTAAATGTACCTTTACCGTCATTATGATTGATATTTAAAAAAAAATGTCACATTAACATTGATATACATCAATTTTTGCACAATGCCAGCTGTACAGTTTTTAATAAATCTCGAGCAATCAAATCAATGTCAAAATCACAATACAATACTTAATTTCAATGACAGAAAGAATTTAATATTAAATAGGTGTTGTGTTTGTAATGTACATTAAATAGGCCCAATACTCAACACATTAATTTATGGTTTAAATATTGCATTCATTCACATCTAAACATAATTGACACACGAACTAATAATGGGGTACTATACTATAAAAAAAGAAGGCAAAATTTAGGTTTATATTATTCTTCATTGTTAAATAGCAAAATAACTAATAATCGATTTAAGCTGTAATTTTTTAAATAAATGAGATTTAAACAAGTGGTTTTTGATCCACTACATTCAAACGGTATTAGAATGCGCGTTTGATGACGTCGGGTCTCCCCATCCAATCAGCAAATGCAGCGCTATTTTGTGTCTCTTACCGACGACTTTCCTGCTCCGTCTTCCATCGCATCGCAGACTGGAGTTTGGGTTAGTGGCTGATTTTGCGCGTTCGTCATCACTTGGCGCAAATATGGTGTGTTTGAAAGTGTGTTTATTTTTCACCAACTTCAAATTTTTTTTCGCCTTGAATGAACCCTTTCGCAAAAAATAAAAAACACGGGTATACAGGGTATTTCACGAGTGATAATGAGCCTGACGGAATTGAAAATACAACCCACAATACATTTACAAAGTTAACGTGGATATTTTAGATATCGCTTTGTTTGAAAAACCGATAATGAATCCACGATAGCTTTGCTTCCAATAATTTTATTTGTCACAACTGACATTAAATTTAGCAAAAAGTCAAAATGCATTCGAACGATGAGAGAACAGATCTGATTCTCATTTATGGCGAATTTGGCAAAAATGCTTCTATCGTTGAACCTTTCTAAAGACAATATTTCCTAAAGAGAAAAGCTCCAAAAAGTCTTGAATCACTAAAGTGGTAGATAGGTACACTTAAGGCTGTCCGGGAGTGAACAGGCAAGTCGGTTTTCAGCACTAATTCTTTTTCAAAAGCAACTAGCAATACACCCTAGGCAGGGTCCAAACTCAGTCTTTACCTGCGTTCAGGGGTTGAGTTAGTAAGGGTAATATATAGTAATAAAAGTAAAAGATCAGTTCGCTAATACTTTTATGCCTTGAATTTGTGGAAGTTGACAAAGAAATTTCTTAGAAAGCTAAATATTGATTTGACTTTTGGATCTTAAAAAAAATCTAATCATAATTATTCTATCTACCTGATAGGTTGTACATATTTACTAATTAGAAAACTCACAGGTTGCATTTTCAATGGAAATTAAATTTTTGTATGGGGTAACAAGACATATAATTCCATAAATTAAAATTTTTACAATCGGAAAAATTACAAATTTATGCAATTGTGGTCTCAAAATTTTGGACATCAAGTTATGTCAGTTCAAAAAATATCAATGTAAGCCACGATTTCGTGTCATTATAATTGACTTTTGGATCTAAAACTTGAAAGTTTTAGTTGAAATTTATTTCTGGCATCGATTTCCTAATACATACAATAATGCCAGCAGTTGCAGTACGTTTTTTATATAGTTTTTATTTTTTATTATTATTTTGAATTATTGTCATTTTTATTTAGCTGTCAGCATAAAAACTACAAAAATCAAAAAAAAGTTGCACATAAAGTCAGTTTTACATTTTATGTCAACCGAATGACAAATTGTTCAAAATTTTGTGTCGATATATCTAAATATCTAATTTACATTGTGCACTACAAAATTCATATTCTTTAGAGGGGCATTTATGATTTTTTTAGCTAGATTTTTTTTCTATTGCAATTTTTTGTCATTGACCACATTTATGGGTACCACTAATCGTAGAAAAATGCG